GGGGGGGGTGTACGTCTTTCTGTGTGTATGTGTGCATTTTTTTTATTGTTTTAATCCTTTTTTGTGTTGGGGAAAGGGGTGGTGAAAAAGTATTGTCGTATTTGAGTTGGTTTCTGCGTTGACTCTTACTTTCGTTCGATATAAAATGAAAAAAAAACGTGTTTTTTTTTTTTGTCTTTTCTGTTTGTTTGTTTGTTTTTGTTATACTTTCCAAATGGTTGAGAAGACGGATAAAACAATGGCTCTTGAGCAGTCGCTCCAGGCAAGGTTTATGACCATTAGTATGATTGTCCTGGGTCATCCTTCCAAGCTTGTTCCAAGTGAGCTTCATCTTTCTCGTGTCCTTTGCCACGCATTTCCCCCATGTTCTCCGTGGCCTACCCCTTCCACGTGCTCCTTGTGGGCTCCTGCTACTTTATTCTTAGAATGCTCCTCATACGTCTGTTTATGAAAGTCTGGACTTTATTCAGGACTGTCTTTGTTGTCTTCCAAGTTTCGCAGCCGTAGAGGAGCACAGACTTGACGTTGGAGTTGAAGAGTCGAATCTCTGTGCGAATTTTGTTTGTTTTCCAGACTTTTGAGAATTGATTTAGTGCGGACCTTGCCCTGGCGGTTCTTGCTTTTACATCTGCCTCGGTTCCACCTTTACCATCTTTGACACTTCCAAGGTAGGTAAAGGGATCCACTTCTTCCAGGGGAGTGTCTTCAACCTTCACAGCAGTGCTTGAAACCTTTTTCTTAGCTTCACTACTTTTGACTTGCCTGGATGTATACGTAGGCCAATACTCCTTGATTGATAGTCTGTTGAATTCCTTGATCTTTTCTTGCGTCTGAGCATGTGTGAGAGAGAGCAGTGTAAGGTCGTCTGCGAAGTCCAAGTCGTCCAGCTGCTGCCAAGGGATCCACTGTATTCTATTACGCTTGCCTCTGGTGGCTTCTTTCATGACCCCGTCAATTGCCAGTATGAAGAGAAAAGGTGAGAGGTAGCATCCTTGTCACACTCCTGTCTGTACCTAGAATGGTTCTGAGAGTTGTCTTTCGTGGAAGACTCGGCAGTTTGTTCCATCATAGGTGGCTTTCACAAGCTTGATGATTTTTTAGGTATTCCACAATGCCGCATGAGTCTCCACAGAGTTTCCCTGTCCACGCTGCCAAACGACTTTTCATAATCAATGAAATTGACCCCTAGTGGGGAATTCTATTCAAGCGATTGCTCAACAATGATACGCAGAGTAACGATCTGGTCCACACATAATCGGTTTTGCGGAATCCTGCCTGGTTTCCCCGTAGCTTCTCGTCTGTTGCCAGCTTGATTCTCTCTGGGAGTATCCTGTTAAAGACTTTCCCAGGTACAGACAGGAGTGTAATGCCTCTGTAGTTGTTACAATTGCTGAGGTATCTCTTCTTTGACAGCTTGATTAGGTGGCCTTCCTTCCAGTCTGCTGGTATGTCCCCCTTTTGCCAAACCTTTTCAAATAGAGCATAGCGAATTTCCACTAACGCATCTTTATCTGCCTTAAGGGCTTCCGATGGTATATATGTCGGGACCAGCTGTCTTAGAGACTTTTGTGTTTTTATAGCTGCTGCAATTTCACCTCTCGAAGGTGGTTCCAAAACTACTGGGAGGACGTTTCTGCTGGAAGGATTTCTGGTTGGTTTTCTGGAGGTGGTCTGTTCAATAGTATTCTCTCCGTCGGTTAATTTGCCCTTCTAGGTGGAAGATAGTCTTTCCCTCTTTGTTTTTCAATGGTAGAGTGGGCTTGCTGAACCTACCTGAAAGAGTTCTTGTAGTCTGGTGTACATCCGTAAGTGCCCGGCCAGTCCGTTCAGGTAGGTATTCTTGTCCTTCTTGATGGAATTCTTTACCTCCCGTCTTACTTCGGTGTACTCTTGTTGTGCAGTGAGTTTCTCAGTTCGGGTACAGCTGTTGTTGACTTGGGCCTTCGGGCTCTCTTCTTCTTTTGACTTTGTCTAGAGAGTCCTGAGAAATCCATTCATTCCTGGTGTTGTCTTTGGGACTTATGGTGCTCTGGCAAGTTGCATTTTCTGCCTTTATTATTCTTGACCCAGTCTTCGTTTACTTCACATTCATCCAGATCTTGAAGAACTTGAAATTTGTTCTTCAGTTCCAACTTGAACTCATTTTCTTTACTGGGTCTTTCAGAAAGCTCACTTCATACTTTAAACGACTTCCAGTTGTGACTTGTGCATACCTTTTCAGTTTCAGTTTCATCTTTCCAAGGATCAAATGGTGATCTGATGCGACTCTGCTCCTCGTTATACTCGGACGTCCTCCTGTGAGTGTCTAAACTTTTGGGAGATGCCAAAATGGTCAATCTGGTTGTCCGTTGTTCCTTCCGGGGAGACCCAAGTGGCCTTGTGAATCCTTTAATTTGGGAATATTGTTCCTCCAATAACCAGGTTGTTGAAAGTACTGAAGTTTTGAAACCTTTTAAGCCATGTCTGCCCTTGATTTCCTCATAGTGACTATTTTCCGAACCTACCTTTGCATTTAGGTCTCCCATGACAACGTTGATGTCCTGACCTGGAAGTTTGTCGATCACACTCTACAGGTGGTTGTAGAAGTCATCTTTAGTCTCCTCTTCTAAATAATTGGTTGGAACTTCATGTTTATGACCTTCTCCCTACAATCTATTACCTTGAGTTCCTTTTCAGTTCCAAAAGAGGACACGATAATCCTTGAACCATGCGCGTCCCACATCCAGAATGTCTTTTGAGCTGTTTTGGATATGATCATCCGTACTCCTTCCCTGTGTGGTCCATCACTGTCATTTCCTGAATAAATGGAAAACTCCCCCTCTTTCATTCGATTCTGTCCAGACCGTTTCAAGTGGGTCTCGCTGATTCCCAGTATTTGTAGTTGGTATCTGTGCATCTCTTGGAGAACTTGTGCAGTTTTTCCAGCCCCATAAAGGGTCCTAACATTCCACGAGCCAATCTGAAAAGACTTGGACTTGGATGGTGGTGGAGGCTTCTGCCCAGCAGCTTCCTTTCGGCTTTCACTGCCTTGCGTCATACACTCTCCTTTCGGAGAAGGTCCACGATCAGCCAAGCAGAGATAATGGTTTTTGCTTGATGTATATGTTTCTGTAACAGGTTCTTTTAACGAGAGAGGTTGTTAGCCTCTTGACTTAACCCCCGACCTGGAGGCAAGATGACTCTGTTTCGGTTGTCACTACCTGGTTTCGCCATTTAGTCGCCTCCTACGACAAGCTAGCACCACATCAGTCCTATTTTTATCAATGCTGGGACTGCATGGCAGAATGCTGCACTACTAGGAACATATTTTCCACATCACTTGTAGCCTCTGAACACTCGTTGGCCTATGCAGCTTTTCTTGACCAAGGCTACCCCTTTTTTTTCTTGTTTTTTTTTTCATCTCACAAAAGTGTAATATTACATTGGGTCATCATGACCCCCCCCCTTTTCTTACACTTTTGTTACTGGAACCAAAGAAGCCCCGACCCTCCCCCCTTCTTTTCCGGGTGTAAGATTATATTATTTGAACAGCCCCTTACATTCTCAACAAAAAGGGATATAATATAGGTGTAAGTAAGTAATGGTACATTCGTCTGTTCCAAACTGTAAGAAAGTTGAAAATAAGAGAACACTTTCAGGACTCACATACAACAAATATGTAGGCCTACTGACCATGAATAGAGAAAGAAAGGTAGTGAAACATCATTACTCACCACCTCTGCCATTTGTAAGTGGCATGATCAATTATGACTTTTGACACAATACAAATGCAATGAAGTAAGACAAGCTCAAGATACTATGATCATGCATGTCACTCACAATTTAGACAAGTCCATGTCCATGAATAAACTGATGAATCGATAAAACCCTGCCATCCTATATTCACGGTCTTTGAGGTCCAGGTAGCTCATCATTAGCATACGTAAAATTACACAAGTGTTGAACGAGGTCCACAGTGAAAAGGGGCATGAACAAACAAACAAACAACAAGTCTTGCGAAATGTTGGAACTGTCTTTAATCCTCACATTTTCTGACAGCGAAGTTCCAACTGTATCAGCGAACGGAAAGGTGGCCGGTGAAAGGGTGCGTGTTATGGGCCAGTACTAGGATCATCATTGGACAATTGGAATGAGAGAGGAAAAATGAAAAGCAAATAACTTTATAGTAATATTTTGGCTTTATAATAGAAGTAGAAGTATAAGAAATAAAGGGGGGGGGGGGGGGGGGTCCCGTGGCCTAGAGGTTAAGGTGTTGGCCTCTCACTCAAAAGGTCCCGGGTTCGAATCCGGGTAGCGACCGAAAAATTTTATTCTCTAAATCTGTCTCCTTTCACCTCATTTCCCTGCTCTCTAGCAATGTTCTGTCGTCTGCTTTCGTCTCCTCTTTCTGCCCCCACCCCTTCACCTCCTTTGCCCCTTCCTCTGGGCTCCTGACTCTTTCTTCAGCCTTTCTACTGCTACTCCTTCGCTTCTTCTTACTGCTGTCTTTCAGCCACACCCCTGATCTTCTGGTAGGAAAGATCTACACCTAGCCTTCTCAGACAAGGGCAAAAAATCTCGGAGGGCCGGTGTTCAAGTTGCGCACTTAAAGATCCCTTGGTGGTCTAAAATCGATAAGAGTAGGCTTCGGCTGCCACCCGGGCAAAATTCAAAATTTCCTACCAACTGAAAATATTAGGTGTGTCCGCGCGCTCATATGCAGTTGCGAGCGCCGTAAAACACTTTACAAAAACCAAAAGAAATATAGTGCGGTCAAAAATTCGTCTCACAAGTTATTGTCAAATATTTCTTTAACTATCAAACATACTCTCCAGTTTTTGTTCAATGACTTGTACTTGTATCACTATGTCTAAACAGATCAATACATGTATTTTTATAAACACCTGTTAGCTGTATTCTAGAAAATTCCTTAAAGATAAATACAAACTAAACATCCAAGCGGGTGTATTCTACTGATTTTAAAATGTTTACAGCTTAAGCAAGTCCATCTTTTTTTTTTTCGAATGGCGACATTATACTTATTGAATGCATGATTTGAGAACCTTTAGTGCAAACAAGTGTTTACTGTAACTGTAAACTTAAATTTTTGTAACAAGTTTTGCCACTTAAAAGAGTCATTGGTGAGCTGTGACGTAGGCCATAAATGCAATGCTTGTGAGAAGTGCCCTGGAACTGAGGGACTGGGGTTGTATGATTTTCTTCTCTTGGGGCCAAAACCAGATAGTTTGCCTTGAAGTTTTATAATAGTTTTAATTCATTTATTTCTACACTGTGCAAAGTTTTACATGTTATTAGATCTATAGTTCAGAACCTTTTTCAATGAATGTTTCTTCTTGCCGAAATCATTTCATTTTAATCTTGGAAGTTACGCCTACTTATTCAATTTGGGGCTTGAAGCTTGATACGTGTATGGATCTGGGGGAAACATCCCTGGTTTTCTAAGGCCACTAAAAGAACGTTAAAAATCATTGCATACGTTATAACGCTACCATCTAAAACAAGTTCACAGGGTGGCCTGATAGAAGAGATAGAATCTGTCTACTAACGGAATGTCAGTGAAATTTTATAATTGTGTACGTACATTATGATTGTTAGTTAAGTAAACAGAGACAAATCAAAACGTAAATGACGCACAAAGACGTAGCAGAACCCTTTGCTGAATCAATCGTATCTGTAACAAGTATTCATAGCAACAAAATGGGCAAAGAATGTGAGAACAGTTTTTCAAACAACAAAGATTATGAATATCTATACTCAACAGGATAGGAGCTTTTTATTTATCATTTTTTAAAAGAAATTAATTCAAAGTTAAAACAGGCAGTGAGACAAAAGATACAAAATTAATAAAAAGGAAAAAAAAGCAAATCTCAAACTTGAAACAACATCCACATAGAGCAAGCATTACAGCGAAGCAGTGACAGGTAGTGATGGGCAGGTATCGATTCTAGGTATTGATACTTAGATACTTATTGATATCGGTATCGGTACCGATACCTGCTCTAAACATCGACACCTATGTGTTATTTATCCCAGGGCTGCCAAAGCAAGTGACTTGGGCCTTGAGAATTTTTTGTTTATCAAAACTGATAAGTTTTGCTTGGGGGGGGGGGGGGGGAGGCTAGCAGAGATCTTAAGTCGAACTCCGTGTCGTTTTCACACAAGCGGAGAGCTTGTTCTGAGTTCTATTTCAGGGATATGTCAATCCTCGCTGGGACACTCGTTTGCCCCCAGGGGGTAATGTTAAGAGTGAAAAAACAAATCGAATCTGCCTTTTCTGAAACTGCTGGGTCTTATTGTTCTGTATACTAACCATTCTCCCAAGGAGGGATTCCCCCCCATACATCCATTAGGTTTGGTTTTATTGTCCTATTCGCGGTTATTATTTCTTCTCTCTCCTTTACAAATAACGATTACCTAAAGACTTGGAAAAGTATAGTTGTATTTTTGTCTTTACTTATTACCCCCGGCGTATATTACTAATAGCATTAGGTATCGAGGTATCGGTTTCGATACCTTGAAAAAGTATTAGGTATCGACATCGATACCTAAATTGTGGTATCGGCCCATCACTAGTGACAGGATTATTCTACTGCACTGTTGTCACTGTTTTCTTATTATTCTTTTTACATATTGTAAATCGTCGATGGGATTCACAAACCGGCTACATGCACAAATTTCAAAAATCTTTTTATTTGCTTAATGAATAGTAAATAGCCCAATATGTGTCCCCAAAAAATAGTAGGTTCGAAAAAAAACTAGAAATATGTTTTAATTGAGACTTTCCAAAACGGACACCTGCAGCTGATGGAAAAATGGGATCTCCAAACCGGCCATGTACATAGCCGCATCGGTTTCACCAGACCGTCGCGACATGCGTTGACACGTGCCATAGAAAACCGGCTACATGCTTCCCCGCCGCGCCTCACCCCGACCGTTCCGTATGGGTTTTTTTCTCTTGAACTAGACAGAATTGTAAACTGTTATCAGTGTTCATCGAGATAAATAATATTATAGTCAACAATGAAGTGACTTATAATATAAAGCATTTGTGTGATTCGATTTACTAGATTAGATTTGTCACTTAATTTATGCATCTAGATGAGACATGAGAACATGAAAGATCAATAGAGTTCCAGCCACATTATGGGCCCGCATCTTTACAACAAGCTCTCTCTCTCTTCTTCTTCTTCTTCTTCTTTTTCTTCTTCTTTTTCTTTTTCTTCTTCTTCTTCTTCTTCTTCTTCTTCTTCTTCTTCTTAATGTTTTTCTACCCCCCTCTCCCTCCAGTTTGACACACGTCAAATTATTTAGGAGGCGGGCTGTGGCAAAGAACAGAATTATGGCACCATAGGCGTCAGTAATATATGGAATGAGTAAACATAGGTGTATAGGGAGATGATAAAGAAAAGTAGACCAATGGACCACGACTGTGTCGAAGGGCGGCCAGGACAAGGAATTTGTGAGTGGACACAGATGAGACACAGCATCACGAAGGGACATAAGAAATATGATCTCTATCTTGATTGAAATATTTTTATGGATTACATCCCTTTAACCTTTCCTTTTAATGGCACACCAAGAAATTGGCCCTAGTCGCCCTACAAATTTGTATTTGTGTTTTGTGTAATATCTACAGCAGTATTAGGGTTGGTAATGCGCTGCAATATTGCCATTGGGTTGTTGTTTATTAGACATGTCGTCGGTAATTGATTCAAATGTTTTAAGGCCTGGAATAGGAGACCCCCCACCCCCCACCCCCCACACACACACACACACATACACACTCAAACGCATCACGCCTGCATGCACGCTTGCACGCGCGTGCACACTAACAAACACTCACACAAACACACACACACACACACACAAACACACACACACACACACACACGTAAACACACACACACAAACACACACACACACGAACTGCTGCAGTTAAAAAATTATAGATCGATAACGACTGTACAGTCGACGTAGAATCACTTAAAAATTTGCCGCCACGCAGGATTAAACACGGGCGCACATTTAAAAAAATGCAGATTTACAGGCAAAAACTGATTTCATATTCGGAATCAGCGTCTTAAAAAACCCCAGTAAGTAAAGTAGCTCACGGGGAACCTGATTTGATGCGATATTATGTAAAGGTTTAGCAATTTTATTATTTGTGATGCAACATGGTGGAATCAGGCTCTCGTCAATTTTTGGGCATGTAGAGTTATTGGTATCATCTTAAAGCTTGTTCACTTGTCTTTACTTGGATGAAAAAATGTCCATTTATCTTGAATATAAGTGGAGATATTTGCGAATGAAGGAGGTGGGGGTCACCTGTTTTCAGAGGGAAAATTAGTGAGAAAATGGCCGCCAAAGATTCGTTATTTCCTTGGCTTAAGAGTCCGTGGTAACTGAAAATTTCTATTTTGTGTGCCTTTAATCAACGTTTTTCCGAAAAATCCACACAGAAACAAGTTCTTTAATGGGCATGAAATGTGTTGGGCCAAAAAACAAAAGCGTGATAAAAATTCACAAACCTGTGGAAAAATGCAGGTTTCTTCAATTTGATTATTTTGACGAGAGCCTGATTTTACCTCGCTGCCTCACATTTAATTGATTGTCACTAATGAAGTTGTGTATCAAGGTCACTCGGTGCGTCGCACGCCTGCACTCAAATCAAAGCTTTTACTTCTACGCACAACATGACACAGTATGACCACCCTTTCCTAAAGAC